TGGGAGACTTCAATGCAAAACTAGGCACAAGAGAAAGCGGTGAGCTGCAGGTAGGGATATTTGGAGTAGGGCAACGGAACCGAAGGGGCCAGTAGCTGGCCGACATTATGGAGAAAGAGGGACTCTTTATGATGAACTCTTTCTTCCAGAAGCGGCCCACAGGAAGTGGACCTGGTCGAGCCCCGACGGTTCGACAAAAAATGAGATTGACTTCATTATGACGACCAGACGCCAACTGTTCAGTGATGTCTCAGTGATCGCAAGGGTGAAAACTGTCAGCGATCACCGAATGGTTAGGGGCACACTGAACCTAAACGTTAAGTTGGAGAGGTCTCGTCTAATGAAGTCAACGCTCCGTCCCCCTCGTGCTCTAATCCAGAATCCCGAAACCTTTCAGCTCGAGTTACAAAACCGCTTTCAGTGCCTAGAGGATTGCAATGCAGTGGACGATATGAATGACAAGCTCGTGGAAACTGTCCATGCGGTCGGAGCTAAATTCAGCGCGCAGAAGAACACTAAAACTCTCCGATCACACTCTCAATCTCATGGCTGTTAGACGGGAGATGAGGCTGCAATCGTCAATAGATTTGACAACATACAGCCAACTGAATAGACAGGTCTCCAAATGCATGCGGCGAGACTTACGCAACTTTAATACTGCTCGTATTAAAGAAGCGATCAAGCGGAACCAGGGCTCCAAAGTCTTTGCCAGAGATTTGTCTGCCAGAAAGAGCCAAATGTCAAAGCTGAAGACTGAATGTGGCAACATCATTTCCGGGACACCTGAGATTCTGAGTGAGATTGAGAGGTTCTATGGGCAGCTGTACACATCATCTTTAGAGCCACACGCAAGTATGAGTAACGATCCAGGAGCAAGTCTTATCCGACACTATTCCGATGATACCCCGGACGTCAGTCTGAGCGAGATTATAATGGCTCTCTACCACCTTAAAAACGGCAAGGCTCCGGGCGAGGATGGAATTACAGCGGAGCTTCTGAAAGCGGGTGGAACACTGGTACTTGAAGTCCTTCAGAAGCTCTTCAATTCCGTCTTCCATGGTGGCAGTACTCCGGAGGCGTGGAGCAGAAGCGCGGTGGTCTTGTTCTTTAAGAAAGGCGACAACGCTCTCTTGAAGGACTATAGACCGATGTCCCATCTACGTGCTGTTTTGAGAGTCATTACGGATCGTCTCGCACGCAGACTCGACGACTTCCAGCCTCCCGAACAAACCGGTTTCCGAAAAGGCTTCAGTAATATAGACCACATACATACCCCGCGGCAGATTGTACAGAAGATCGAAGTGTACAATCTGCCACTTTGCCTGGCATATGTGGACTATGAGAAAGCCTTTGATTCCGTCGAAATTTGGGCGGTGCTACAGTCTCTTCAGCGGTGCCAAGTTGACTGACGGTATATTGAAGTGCTGAAGTATTTGTACAGTAGGGCTACGATGGCTATCCGAGTACAGAACCGGAGTTTCAAACCTATCCAACTGCAGAGAGGTGTAAGACACGGTGATGTTATATCCCCGAAAATCTTCACCGCTGCGTTGGAAGACGTTTTCAAGCTACTGGACTGGAAAGGATACAGTATTAACATCAATGGCGAGTACACATTGATTTTAATACCATATCCTTACTAACATTCATACTATTTTCACATATCATCATTATCACTCACCTTCGATTTGCGTACGATATAGTTCTTATGGCAGAATCGCTGGAGGACCTTAACACTATGCTCAATGACCTCAATGGTGTCTCCCAACGCATAGGTCTTAAGATGAACATGGACAAAACAAAGATCATGTTTAATGTCTATATCACACCTATGCCGGTAGTTGTTGGGACTATGCTCGAAGTTGTTGACGAGTACGTTTACCTGGGACAAATAGTCCGAAATTACGACACATCTTCTCATCAGGTACACCTCAATCTCTGAAAACTAAAGTGTATACACTTATAATCAATGCGTGTTGCCAGTGATGACTTAACGATCTGAAACGTGGTCCTTCACTGCTGGCCGTATGAGGACGCTCAAGGTTGCTCAGCGAGCTATGGAGAGGGCTATGCTCGGAGTTTCTCTGCGTGATAGACTCAGAAATGAGGATATCCACAGTAAAACCAGAGTGACCGACATAGCCCAACGGATTAGTAAGCTGAAGTGGCAATGGGCCGCCCATATAGCTCGAAGAACCGATAACCGATGGGAAAGAAAGTTTCTCGAGTGGCGGCCTCGTCCCGGTAGGCGTAGTGCAGGGCGACCCCCCACTAGATGGAGTGACGACCTAGTAAGACATGCAGGAAGTCGATGGATGCAGGTGGCTCAGGACCGTGCTTTGTGGCATTACTTGGGGGAGGCCTATGTTCAGCAGTGGACTTGTAAAGGGCTGTAATGTTGATGATGATGATGATGAACCATAATTTTCCGTTTATGTGTTACTTTACATCATTCATGTAACTTCAATAAATAATAAAAACTCAAAAAATTTTGCACTTTTGAGGATGACGACTACATAACACCAGATAAAACTATTTAAATTATGATGAACAAATTTATTAGAAATGTTAAAAACATAGCACCTTACATTACTAGCGCTAAAATTTAATTCCGTAGTTTTATCAAATTTCGTGTGCACAAATAACATCAACAGCGTTTTGTTTACTGTTCGGATAAGAGCACTTCAAAATTTAACGGAATCTACGTTTTGTTGAGAGCTGGTAATTACCTTCTACTAGAAACTATCTCGAGTGCGACGATTAAAAGATTAGCAACCCCAAATAATAGAACAATTTCATTTGCAGTTAGCTGGTTATTACAAATAAAATTTTATCGAGGTGACGTTATTATATTTAAGTATATCTGATAATATCTTGATAAATTTAGTGGAAACGAGGTGGAGACGTTATGTGGAAAAATATCCAACGTTACCGTAATATGTAATCACTAATTTGAGCATCATGTCAACTGGCGAGCGTGGTTCTAATTTTAAAAATATATCATGTATTTAAAGGTCATTTTACGTTCCGTAGTATAAATGTTGACGTTCTGTTCTCCCTCCTTATCAACTCGCAAGAGTCCAGTTCTGGACAGTGGCTGGGATTATACTTAAACGCTACGTTTGGTAGATAGACGATCGTGGTACCAATTATCTCGTAATTTTGACGTTGAATCCTGTCGCCTTTCTGAATATTTTACGTCTGGGATAAAAGAAATGGTTAAGTCACCATCTATTTTGATTGTTCTGATAATTACTACAGCCACCTCTTACGACACTCAAGTGAAAAAACAATGTGGTGATTGAATTTATTACACTGCCAACGCACACTTACTTGTCTTCATTTTTGGGTATTCAATTTATTGACCATAGATATGTAGTAATATAATATAACACACCATCATATGCCGTTATCGTATACGGTAGAATTTTTATGGGGTAATAGGTATTCAATGAATGGATCCGATGTAACGTCTATGTGACAATCAGTTGTTAAACTTTCAATTTATTGTCTTATATTCGTGATTAACTGCTTTGATTACGTGTACGTGTGTTGTGTTTACGAAAGCACATACATGCTCAAAGATATATTGTCATCACACAAAACTAGTAAAAAACTTACATATACTACTTACTTAACATATCACTTTGTTATACTGAATCTCGCAAATCATGTGAATTTCAAAAATTATCGATGCTGCAGCGTTGCTCTACCACGTATTTAAGGTCAAGTCTCCTGTAATGAACTGAATAACTGAACACAGTTTTTCTTCATAGTTGACTTCATTGGTGGAATATTTGCCATAGGTTGCTGCGGCCCATCGTCATCTATATCTATCCTCGATTACAAATCAAAATGCAGATGCGTTGTCACTCGTGAGGAATAAGATGGAATTCTTTATTTCCAGTAAAAAGGGTCTCCGGATCTCTACACTCACCATACGAAATACAGTAGCATTAAGCTACTATTTCACGCTGGTATTCTGTGAGAGCGTGGTACCTCCCCGGTCGAGTCGACCCATTCGTGCTACAACTATACTACTAATATAACTGCTGCATGGCTCTACCAAGTTCATACTAATACTACTACTACTAATATCGGATGAAAAGTACTCAGACCAGCGATGGTCAGCAGCGTCAGAGTTGCGAAACATCTGGCTGTGACTGGCGCTGACTGCGATCGTCAATCCGCCTACCATGCGTCACGACTGAGGTGAATCATCCCGACAGCGAAAGAGGCCCTTGTTTAGCAGTGAACTTTCGTAGGACGATCAAGAAGAAGAATTTATATTTTGATTAATAATACATTACATGATTTATATTTTATATGCAGTAGAGCCATACTGACTGTAGCACAAATGGGTTGTTCGACCGAGCTCAACTCCACAGGCCACGCTCTAACAGGATACTAGCGTGAAATAGCATCAATAATCTAATGTTGCTGTAATTTTATCAAATTATTTAAAAATCTCAGAAATATCTAATCTATTTCATCCAACAATTTGCAGGAAAGCTATATAATAAGCTATAGCAACTATTTAACCGAACTTACCACTGACAACCATGTCGTCGTCGCGTTAGATAGATGATAGATAAATACGGCATTTATTTGTTTCTCGATAAAAAAAACTATACATAGTATATATTTATAAAAACTCGTGATTTACAAATTTAAAACACAAATGAAATAATAAAACTGTAAGAAGCACTCATAAGTTTGTAATGTTATCAGGATTATCAAAGAAGATATTATACGAGGTAATCATGCGAGATATGTTTAAATTATTAATTGCGACATTAATTTGTTGATAGCTTGTGTGGTGAAAATTAGTTTTGTTATTTTTATTAACAGCATTTTTTTTAATATAAATTTATCTGCATAAAGTAACTACCATGTTATTTATGATATTCGTGGGGATTATATTTTTCATCGTGCTAATATGTTTAACTGTGAAAATTTATCAGAAGTTAACTTGTGGAGTATGTCGCTCAAATTCACACATGGTTGGAAAAGTAGTGATAATAACCGGAGGAAGTAGTGGAATCGGTCTAGAGACTGCCAAGAATTTGGCAGATCGTGGTGCTAAAGTAATATTAGCATGTCGTAGTCCTAGTCGTGCTGCGGCAGCTAAGGACGAAATAATTAAATTTACTGGTAACACCAACGTTCACTACGAGCAATTAGATTTAGGTTCTTTAGAGTCAGTGCGCAAATTCTGTACGAAAATACTAGAAACTGAAAAACGTCTAGACGTTCTCATCAATAATGCTGCTGCTGGAGGCCTTGGTAATAGAAAGACTAAGGATGGACTACATGTAGGAATGCAAGTAAACTACTTTGGCACATTTCTTCTCACGTGTTTAATATTACCACTTTTGAAAAAGTCTGCTCCAAGCCGCATAGTAAATGTTTCTTCGATTATTCACTACTATGGAGAAATGGACTTCGATAATCTTAATATGGAAAAATATTGGAGTGATTTTTTAGTTTATGCAAACAGTAAGCTATATCTCAACCTCATGACCTTAGAGCTCAGTCGAAGACTGAAAAACACAAATGTAACAGTAAATGCTTTGCATCCAGGAGTTTCTGCAACAAATATTTTCAGAAATATCAAGATATCTGTTATTCGAAATACGCTGTTGAAAATTATAAACTTTACATTTAAAGATTCATGGGAGGCTTCTCAAACGTCTGTTTACCTGGCAGTATCACCTGAAGTGGCTGATGTAAGTGGACGATATTTTAGTGACTGTTGTGAAAAGACAGCTTCACAGCTTTCGCGTGATCCAGAATTAGCCAAAAAATTATGGACAGAATCTGAAAGATTAGTGAAGTTTACATTGCCTCATTAATACTAGTAACAAATTTCGTGTACAAGTTATTTTTATATGGTGTTTATATTCGAACTTAAAGAAGCTCAAATAAATATATATATATATATATATATATATATATATATATATATATATATATACTTGCGAACAAATGGTTATAGCCAGTAATATTGAAATAATAAATTTAAGCAATATTTTAGATCCATGATTTAAGGTGATACGTCAACTATATTAAAAATATTGTATCTTAAGTATTAAAGAGTTGTGGTTACTTATATTTTGTTTTGAATTTTATATAGGATTTATAACCAATTATGAAGATGATGATGATCTTAAGTATTAGAGTTGTGGTTACTTATATTTTGCTTATTTTGTTTTGAATGTTATGTAGGATTTATAATTTTGTAAAAAAAATGTCTCTTCACATTAATTTGTTACTTCGTTTTACAAATAAAATCACACGTGTTCTATAAAGTTAAACTTTCGCACTTTATTGATAAGCGATCGAATTGTGCTACAAAATAATTTCACTAGTACCATAAAACTCATACATATATTTTTTTGCTTTTATGATACTTCATTTATTACGTGCATATACCAAATGATATATAAATACGGTATCTGTAGCTGTAAAGTTGATACAATAAGATCAAAGATAGGCTAAGAGATTTCAAATTCGCACTTTAAAAGTACTTTGTACTATTCTGTGGCACAATGAATTTTCACTGTATTCTTTGGACGTTATCGAAGAGTGGTAGTTTAATGTTAACTTAATGACCATATTATATAACAAATTTCATAAACTAAACACATGAAAGGGTATCATTGAAGTTTAGGAAAGAAAAGTACGATGCACCGAGAGTGTAAATATTTACACGATCCTTTTCGAGCTTAATTCCATGCACTCTTAACTCAAAAGTTAATAAACTTATACACTTGTAATTTTGCATCTCACACTTCTTGAATAAACTTATTATAGTAATTGAGTACATAGTACCCTTTCCAGTCCAGTAGCTTGAAAACGTCTTTTTTATAGCAGAGGGGCAAACTAGCACGCAGCTCACCTGATAGTAAGTGATTACCGCCGTCCATGAACAACAGCAACACCAGGGGAATCGCAGTTTAAGAAGGAGTAATCTCATATCTTGAAGGCCCCTAAGTCGTATAGGCCCGGAAAAATCTCTGGTGGTAGTCGATTCCACAAGAAATATACTGCCTTCTATTTTTATTTTAAATCACTTTGTAATTATATAAATATACATTAACCCCAAGTATTTGGACAGGATTATTTTGCAATTTATATTGTGATTATTGTGAATACATGGTTTATACTTTAATGATGATTTTTTTTAAATCAATTGACCTCTGAAAAATCGTGTTTCAGATATTAAAGAAATCATTCAATTCATAAACCTTTTAATAAAGTTTGTTAAAAAAGCGAAAACGCACAAAGCTATACAATCTTTAAAAACCACTAAAACGAGTACGGGCCTATTTTTTATCAGAATGCAATCAAAAAATCCCACTGGGTTTCTTGATGGTCCTTCCCAGGACATTTTATGACAGACATTTTTTCCGATCCAGTGTTAAAGTTTAAATGACTTTTAATAAGTATTCCTGTATTCTGTATTGAATTTAACTGATTTTATTCTATTCTTATTATTTTTGGGTTCCCTACTAATGGTAAAAAGAATCTAGCTCATCATTAATAATTAATTATCTCATCATATCATATATTTTATTAACGTTAATATTATTTTTCGGTTCCCTAACAAAGATTCGATTGATAGGTTTTTGGTTACGTATTTATAATATGTTTCGTTCCAATTATGTAATACAATTTTGTAAAATACATTATTTGTAATAAAATTAATTTAAATCAATACGTGTTTATTATACCCAAGCGATCTAAATAGAATTATTCGATTTCAATCACAATCTTAATCTTAAATTCTTAGATTTTTATTATCATAAAATGTGTTATTTATATTAGATACGTAATAATAAATTTGTATTTCGTCAAAGTTATGTTATATTTTGACAAATTGTTTTGTATAACAAAATGGGGAAATTTTGTTTCACGTTACAACCATTTATAGCACGCAAACGTACTTGCATTACCACCATTGCATCAGTCCTTTCTTTACGAAATTCAGTCCGCCATTTTTACACGTCCCTGCTAGAGGCATTCCATCTTAATCTTCAGGGATGACAACCCATTTGCATTCAGATTCTTAATTATAATTGAATGTAGATCTCAATGGAAAGCAGTTTTCACTTACCATTAGATGGACTGTGTGCTCGTTTTTCAACCCCATTGTATAAAAAAGGCAATTTCTCTCAGAACCCAACTAATAAACTCATTGGAAATGAAGGATATACAAAATTGAATGCCTTAAAAATTATTAAAAAATTCAAATATTTTAACAAATTATTTACGCTCGCATTCTAATATATGATATCCAATGTCACAATGTCATAAATGTCACGGCCAGATAAAATTCTACTCGCGGAAATATATAATGAATAGTTCCGTATTTATTAAATAATTTATTTAAAGGATATTTTAATATTTCCGTATATATTGACGATGTAAGTAAGCCCCATATTTAATTTTTTTAGATAAAACTTACTTTAACAGAATATTTAATTTTGTTATAGTTATATAACATCAAACGAAAACCCTGTGGTTCCAGTTAAATTAATTAGAATCTGTATAGAAACGTATACAAATAATTTCAGAAAACTCGACTGCAATTTTTTTTTAATTAAATTTTAATAATTTTATTAGTTATTGTATGTGCTTAATTAAATATATGGCATCGATAGCTTTTCTCTGAATCTTCCATTATTCACTAAACCTTTTTAAGGCTTGCCTATCATCATTAGCAATTTCAAAGAGTTGTACGAGTAACTCGGCAATAAAAATGTAGGGATTGACATAGGTTATTCACTAGTAAGTTCATTATTGGTGCCGCGCGCAAGTGATTCCGCTTAAGTCATTCTACGAGTGCTGATGACAGTAACGTGGTATTTCTGTACGTTTTAGAAATTCTTCTAGTGCAGGCAAGGAAGGTCGTATTGCTGATAGGCTGCTATTTGTTACAATGAACTGGACAGTGTTGCTGTTGGTTTGCATACTTTAGTATTATCGTGTAATTACGTCCTTCACGTTGCACTACTGTGTAATTGTGACGGGGACATATTACGGTATGGTCCAACTGTAATTAATTGCTCTATCCTGAATGTATCGAGCAGTTGCTGTGCTGTTGAGGGCACAAAATGAAGGGCTCCATACTGAGCTCTGGAGAATCCTCCACCGTAAGGACGAGGAAAATGGGTTCTTAGTAACCTTTTCTTTGGACGACCCATCGGCGGAAACTCTTCGGAAGGTAGGCAGCAGAGTCGTCCTTGACTTTAAAATGATAACTTTTAAAGTCAAGGGAGGCTCTGACTCGGCAATGGAGCCCGAACTGCCCCAACTCCAATCCCCTCAGCCCTCCCACCTCTTTGGTTGCCTGGAAGAGATCGCTATGTAGCGATAAGGGCACATTTCTGCTCTCTGTTTTCTTGTAAATTTGTTTTGTTCTAAAGTATATTCATTCATTCATTCATTCACCTCTCGGGATGAGACTGGAACGCCATCAGTGAGAGTGACGAAGACCCAAGGCGCTGATCTCGCCTCGGTCCGACGGCCTCCGCTGGTCCAGGCATCTAGGCGGGGGGGAGGGATGGGAAAGGCATGGCGAAAGGTAAGGTGGTGATCAAGAGCGCAGGTAAAGGACGTATTCGTCCTCAACAGGCGGAAAACACCCCTGCCCCCCACGTCCACAAATGGCTAACCCCAAGGGTAAGGCGAGGGACCTCCAGGCAAACCTTCACAAAAACTTCACATAAACCCCGCATATGTCATGTTATAGATGTCTCTTGGCATTGATCTTTATCTGTTTGTGAAGTTTCATTACAAACTGTTCAGCCAATTAAAAGATTATACCGGACAGATTGACAGAGGGACAAATAATTTAAGGCCCTGGCCTATACCTCAAAATCTGAAAACTAAGCTGTACAACCAGTGCGTGTTGCTAGTGATGACCTACGGAACCGAGACGTGGTCCTTCACTGCTGGCCGTATGAGGACACTCAAAGTCGCTCAGCGGACTAAGGAAAGGGCTATGCTCGGGGTTTCTCTGCGTGATAAACTTAGAAATGAGGATATCCGCAGTAGAACCAGAGTGACCGACATAGCCCAACGGTTTAGTAAGCTGAAGTGGCAATGGGCCGGCCATATAGCTCGAAGAACCGAAAACCGTTGGGGAAAAAAGGTTCTCGAGTGGCAGTCTCGTACCGGTGGCGAAGTGTAGGGCGACCCCCTACTAGATGGAGTGACAACCTGGTAAGAAATGCAGGAAGTCGATGGATGCAGGTGGCTCAGGACCGTGTTTTGTGGCATACCTTGGGGGAGGCCTATGTTCAGCAGTAGACTTTTGAAGGGCTGTAATGACGATGATGATGATAAAAACGATTCCATATCAAGGAACATTCGCATAAAATATATCACACTGCATTTAGAATTTAATTAAAAAAATTGTTCTTTTCAATAGTGAAACAAATTTAAATTACAATAAATAACGACATTCTTTAACACTACTGTAATTTTAATCAACAATCAAATCAATTTTATTTTAGATTAACATTGTATTTTTTTAGATTAACGCGAATTGTGTTCTTAATTGTTCGAAATGATAATATCATAGTTCTGATAATGGTTAAAATAAAAATATATATCTGATTTAGTTACCAAGCATGGATCTATTCGAAATAAATATAATGCTTAATAATGTAAAATTGAATATATTCTGGAATATCAACATTCATCATCAGCCCTTCACAAGTCCTGAGCCACCTGCATCCAGAAATTCGTCCTGCATGTCTTACCACGTCATCACTCCATCCAGTGGGGGGACGCCTACACTTCGCCTGCCGGTACGACGTTTCCACTCGAGAACCTTTTTTTCCTA